GTAGGACGCAGTGAGCGGTACCTCGAATTAGGCTCTCAGAATTGTTCCCAAATATTAACACAATGTTTTCAACGTCTTATACCTGATTAAATTGATACGATTGATAATATACAACAACTCTTTACCATAGTATTTATTTAAAGAAATGTCTAAGTCGCGTCCTCGTTTTGCCGTACATGTTGCTTAATAATGTCCCTAATATTAAATCCCCGAGCCTGTAGGAAGTGAAGCGCACTTACTTTAGTACTCTTGGCGCGTTATTTGATGAACGTCTTTTACTGCCCGGCGAAAATATTTCAACAGTCCGTACTGGCGCTAAAGTCAACCTAATGCTCATTGATCATAGTATTTATGGTCGTCTATCAATGTGAATTTCCTTTTCATCGATCTTTTCAATATTATATCAAGACAAATAATGTTTATGCGCCATTTTATAATAGTAGAAATAGTAGATATTATATGAATAAATCAATAAAATACAGTTGGAGATTTTGAACGGGACCTAGTACGATATCAAACGGCAGAGTCAAAGACAAGGTTGACGAACCTGATCGATACAATCCAATGGAGGATAATATGTGTTCGCATTCATGAACTCAAAAATTATGAGATAATATATAAAAAGCTTGTCGCAAGATCTCCATTCCCGTTGGAAAACTAAAGAAGGGATTGTCCTGGACGAATTTAGCGGCTAATCATCTAAGAAATGAAGATTTTTATTCCCACAAGGTACATGTTCAAAGATAATTTTGAATTTTATTGTCAGAGGGTAAATTATAAGTGTCCATAATTTGTGCAATCGGGTATCTGAAGTCTGAACAAAAATTTATCGTCCCTATTGCCAGGTGCATATCACCTACGTTAAAATTACAGCGGAGGGCGGTTGCCTTTCAGTGATCTTTTCCTTTTTTCCGAGCTTGTTGTTGATGTACGTTCCTGACTGTTTGGTCTCGTGGGCAAACAAAATGGCTGCAGTGCCAGCTTTACGAGTACCTATTTTGATAGGCTATATACTATATAGTATAAGCCTCGTTTTACGCTACACTTATGGGCACGGCTAAAATGGGTACTCATGCTCATTTCACAGGTCTGTCTTTGTATAGGTAGCCTGAACTCTAGTAAAAATATAAAATTGGGTACGAGTACCCATTTTGTTGTGCTGTGCCAGTAAATTAAATGTAGTATAAACAGGGGTATAAATACCAATGTCATTCATCAGCCCATTTTGGTATTATTGGAAAGTGAATTGTGTAAGAAAATAAAATAATTGTGCTACTACCAGTACTCTGTTAATTCAAAACCCTGTTTGATATCACAAATGTAATATTTGATCATCAATCTATTAATTGTATATTACTACTGCCTGCATTGCTGTCTTATTTTTTAAATCCAGTCAGTTTATTCACCCAAAATTCATCTCAAGCAGGCAGAATTGTATGGGTTTAGTCATTCGTCTTAAAGTATTTGTGCCAAAACAGAAATAGAGTGACGTATATTATTATGAAAAAGCACAAAACCTATCTGCCATTAATACATAATTCCTAAAAATATACCAATCTATAATTGTTTTCCATGAAAATCAAACTTAAATTTATTGAAATGTAAACTGGGCCTATATATACATCTATTACATAAATCAACTTATGACATTTTTAAAATTTACAATACATTATACAAAATTACATAAACAAAATATTTGTATTGAATCATGCTTTATGGTGTGAAAACCTTAGATTATATTATATATATACATGTGAAAAGTTTGTTTACAGCTTGCACTAAATGCACATTGCATGTTATAACAAACAATCTGAAACAAACTGTGCAAAAATATCTGAACACAACTCAATGTCATAGTTTTCCCTTCTTAGCTTTCATAATAGCACAAGTGAATCAGAAGTATTAATTAATTAATACAGTTACCCAAAAGTTTTATTGCGACTCTTGCACAAACAATTTTTGCTGTCAGGTATGGTGCAGTTGTTTGTGTTATTTTTGTACATCATTAAATCATTGTTTGTCGATGCTTAGAGCAGTCATGTTATATGTAGACAAACATATAACTATCCGACTTGCTGTCTTCATTTAGAACGTGGCTAATGAATTGTTTAGAATCACAACAGAAGAAAATTGCAGCGAACATTTTAGTGAAAATTGTTTGTGCAACAAAATGGCTTTAAACTTAAATGTCTGTTTACAAATTAAGGTCTTACTGTACACTTTCACTAAATATGTCATCAGTTTCAAAGTCACTATATGTTGCAATAGTCCTTCTAAGGTCGTCGCTCCATAATTGTCATTGGAATCACTTTCAAAGTAATCTGAAGAAAAGAGATCCGTTTAATATAAGACATTCTTGTTATGTTGAGGTTATAATTGAAAACATAAAATAATAGAATTGGTTTGACGTCTGCAGATTTACGACTGATTCACACGATGACGTCATTCAGTTTTATCGCTGGCCATTTGTTTCCAGCAAAGACAATGTTTCTTAGTTTTTTAACATTCACGTAGCAACTTCACTTCTATAATTCACGATCAGAATCAGAGCGGCATTAACGAGAATGCTGGTGAAGAATTTGAAATTGCATTCTGGCTAAAATATCATATATAAAGAGGCAAGTTCAACAAGCCGCGTTCTGCTCTGAATAAAATATAAAAGGATTCAAACTTGTTTACTTCTTTTTCACGGTGTAGTTTCTCACATAATCCTTCACGTTTGTTTATGTTCTGTTTTGTACTATCCCGTGATTCTCCTCCAAAAACTTAACACACTCTTTTTTTTTGGGTAGCACTCCATTTTGAATGTGTTTTTGGAATGTTTTCAACGCTGCCTTTCTTTCTGGCGTTGTCCACGTTTTCTTCGCCACCATCTTTCGTTGCTGACCTATATAAATTATAGTAAATTCATTATAGACTGTATGTAATACAAGTTAACATAGTTAGCTATAGACCCTGGTAAGTTAAATTCGTTAATACATGATTATGGAACGGCTGACGGTCTTTCATCTAGTTACGACTTATGAGTGACAAAATTGATTGTTCGTTACATATATATCAGCTTACCCGGTTGATAATTCAAATGTAAAGTCCATAAAAGTATTATGCCACTAATTTCTGCTGATAAGTTATTTTCATTTATTCTCTTTGTAGATCTTGTAATGAATGATCTTTTCCGAGATTTGTGGAAAAAATATTTGTATTGTGTTCAGCATGTTCCGATTTTGTATAAAGACAAAATATATCCGAGACAGGCGCGGAGAGTAAGTACAAATACTGCTCACTATTTCCAAAAGGTTATTTTGTACAGTGCCTTAAGTAACATAATGTGGCAATAATAGCCTCAATTAACTAGGTTTGCCCTTTGCAGAATATAATCTGCCTGATTATGCATGATTTACCCTTCAAAAAATGGTCTGTGCCTTGTGCACAAAAGAAGGCCAAAAAATATCCTTAGCAAGACGTGGGATAGACCAACCTTACTCTATTGCCGAGTCTATAAAACAAATCTTCGCAGCATGCGTTTGCATGGGTATGGACTGTTAGTATATCGTTTTTAATTTGAAACCTCTGAGCATATGACTCTTGACCACGCATTATGATATGTTAATATCCACATTTTTCGGACAAATAAAAAAACTTTAATTCGTGCATGTGTTAACGAGTAAATATATGTGATTTACCATATATGTGATTTACCATATATGTGATTTACCAGATTGGAGGTCCGCATAGGGAAATATTTCCCAAGGTCTCAAAAATAGCTACTATACATATATATGATAAGCATTCATGGACTGCATGCATTCTATGTTTAATATTGTGAGAGTTACGAACTTTTCTGTCGCGAATCGGCTGCATGGTTTTGCTTTGTGCGTTAGATAGCATGTTATTCGAAGACGATAAAGAATTGATAACGATGCAATAGCAGAGGTGAAATTTAATGAGAGCAAATTTACTTAGGCCTGAGTAAGTGTCTGCTTCGTTCCTCAAGTGTTTGTCATTATGTTACAGTCAGTGTGGTTAACCGTTATACAAATTCATGCGTCACTGATGATGCAGAAATTAAAATTTTTGCAACAATCTTACCCGCCTCGAGGGTTCCCCTTTTCTTGTTACAATGTTTTTTAGACTTTTCAGTGGACTTGTTCGTTCCTAGGGTTAAAAAGTTTAAAACTGTCTAGCATTGAAAATTTAAGCCATTGAAAATCCCATACATGGAGATCTTATATGTAATATATATTGATTTTCTGTTTTAGAAAATATTGAACATTGCTTGGCTGAAAACAACCTGGTAAGTCAACTGATGATTTTTTTGCCAATTTACGTGCGCATCATATTGGCTTCAGGCCCTTATATTTTTTCGGATTGGATTTCGGACTTCTTTGTATGTGGGGATAAAGATTGACTGAAATTAATTGCAATTATGCAATGTTTATTTCGCTCATAAAATGGTATTTATAGTAGTTATACTATAAGACAATTGTACCACTTGCTCGCAAAGCGATTTATTGTTTGAGAGCAATTAATGTTAGTAAAAGCCACATATGTAGCCTTACCCTTTTTGGTCGTTGTCCTTTTGCCAGCAGAAGTTAGCGATGGCGATGTTATGTTGCTCTGGGGGAATCGGTTTTCTACAATATATATATATATTGAGATATTTAGTAACATAGAAAGTGCAATTTAGCAATTTTCTGACTTCAGCTTAAAGATTTTGGCCTGAAGAATTTCAGGAATACGTATAAAATATATGCAGTATAACACACGGTTGTTGAAGGCTTTGTTGGGTATATAATATGCTGTTTGAATTAAGCAACTTTACCTGTCGCAATGAACCGAAGGTTGATAAACTTTACTAACGGAGACCCAGAGACAGAGAGAAACGTGCCTTACTAGCGTTCGTATCAACGCGCAAATTCAGTTAAGAAAGTTACGAAGTTTATTTAGATCCGGATGCCGGCTGAAGCTATAACCACTAAGGGTACATGTAGTTGCCTATAGGATTTGCATATAACCTGCCTATATATAGGTTTTGTGTGATGTATTAATGTTCATAAATTGTGTCTCCAAGAGCCTGTTAACTGAAATTGAACAGTTTTATGTCACATACACAATATATATATATATATATATATATATATATATATATATATATATATATATATATATACTGTGTATCACTAACCGCAATATTACAGCACCTGGATCACACCACCACTGGAATTGGTATAACAGTTACTTAGAAATATTTACCTTTATCTAACTCAGACTCGGCATCCTCTTCACTCTGAGTATTGTGAAAGTCTGGAATAAGATAAGAAATTTTAATTCTTCTTCTTCACATATTCTTATCATTACCTATACTAATCAGTTAATGTAAATAATTGTAAGTTGTCTGCCGTATGGCGGCGCTTATTTTGGTGTTTGATGTAATAATTTTATCATTCTGACAATACCTTGAAGTGTAATGTCCCGCAGGTTTTTCCCTTTAAATTCGTGTGCCCTCCCTTCATCGATGGCCATTAAGAGGTTACCAACTACTGCCATCTCAAGTGTGCTTTCTTGCATCCTGTAGAACTCTTTATGGATGTGCACGTCGTGGCCAAGATGAGTTGCCAGCCATCCCAATTCATTTTGATCCATGTCAACGAGCTGCGACACAGTTGCCACATACTTTCGGAGGTTGGTTGAAGTAATCACGTCGGGATTTTTAAGATCAACCATTTTACATGCATGACGTATAACATCGTTCCCTCGTAAAAACTGTTTTGAACTTCCGTCATTCACTGCGAAAACATAGGGATTTTCTTCGTTCACATTCCCATCTTCCCTTGTCCTGTTCAAGACAAGTATGGCAGCTTTTACATCAGGTGTCAGCAACACGGGAACTTTTCTGTTTCGTTTTCCAAGAATTTCCACCATGTCAAACCTAGAGTTTAATTTATTTTAGGATAATACGTCAGGTTATATAATGGGACTATAAGTTTCAACCTTTCTGGACTGTCACCGTTATACTATTATAGGTTTGCCTTGTAATGAAGCGCGTAAGTTGTTTTTCCGGTTTTCTCTACAATTAACATTATGCTGACTTATATAGATAATGAAAATGTAGCTAACTTTATCACGTACCGTTTGCAGAGTTCTCTTTCAGTGGCTGAAAGGGCAGAAACTATTCCCTCGTTGTGAATGTTGCCCCACAAAGGCCTCCCTTGGAAAGCATCGAGTTTCATTCGAGAAGCCTCCCCACCTGTTAACATGAAGTTTATTTGTTTAGTATAGATACATGTAACTTTGAATAATTTAATTATTTATCTGCCAAAGCTTATTTTTTCGCATTTAAAAGAACGCGAAAGTCATTTACCACAAACAAGTACATGTGATATCCAAAAGTAAGAAAGGTGAAAGTATATGTTTTGAACAAGGCAAAAATGATTTTTATTGCCCTGTCCTTTGATAAGATATTATAATATAAAATAATAGCATTGAATAATATCAGTCTCCCAGAACATAAACATGAGCGTTTTGGTACCTCTCCGTTTATTGAACATAATCAGTCTTGCTAAGGCTGAATTAGCAAGTTTCCTCCAATTTTCTTGCATAGGGTTTTTCTTCACATCCTCGCTAAGTTCCAAAATCTGCTCGTTGAGGAAAGTTCGCAGGGCTAGTAGGTCGTTTGTTATTGGCAGGAGTTGTGGCTTGTTGTGTTTTTTAAATGACAAATTATCCAGGGCTTGAGATGTTACTTTGGCGCTCCATTCTCCCTCGTACAGCTCTAGGAACAGATCGACGTCGTTTTTTGCTTCCATGTCTTTTCTTCGCAATGCCTGGCCTTTTACTACATACGCCGCTTTTTTTAAGGCATATCCGCATTTGGCAGCTGTCGACGGGGATTTGAAACGATCCGCACTGGTGTTCGGTGCTCCTGTGTATCCACCAAGATATCTTGCGCTGGCAAGATGGTTATCAAATTGTGCTGGCGTCAAACTCTTCTCAAGCGATAAAGTTGGAACACAACATAACTCTCTAACCTTTATGAGCAATCGGGCAAGAATACGCATTTGTTGTGAAACTTCCACAGCTTTTTCATTGCCGCGTTTCTCTATTAGTGTGGAGCCCACCCTTAGGATTGTTTCATCAGTTCTGACTACAGCGCTGACATCATCCATCGCCATTATTGCCAAGACGTTATCTGATAGTTGTTGACTAGCACCGGATGGAAATTTATTTGCTGCCAACAACAATCTTCCCGCATGCTGCAGCTTCTTGGATTTCATGGTGTGGTTTATTTCTTGAGCGAAAGGACATTTTGGGCAGTGTCGGTATAGATCCTTTTTCTGGAAGAAACCATGACAAAACTGACAGGGCAAGTAATTGGAGGGGTCTTTATCTTCGTTTTCTCCTGGTCTCCGCATTACCTTTAGTTCACCTTCATGAACCTCCAACACTTTCAAGTTGTGGTTAAAATTACCAAGGCGACACAATTTGTCAGTACCAACTGGCGCGTTCTGTCGTTTTTTTCGAGAGCTACAATTTCTGCCACTTCTTTTTCATTTTTATGGACTTGGAAGAGATGTCGACCAAGCTTGCCAAATTCCTTCTCACAAAAGTAGCAGGCATTTTTTTTGTCGTATACTCTTCTTCCATCTTTTTCACTGCTTGACATTATATACACTACATGCAGATAAAAAGAAAGATTGATCAACAAAGAATTTCTTAAAATTTCTTGACTACGGCGCTGACATGACAAGACGTTATCTGACTGGTTGGAAAATTGTAAGGACTTGGACTATGTCTATATAGAGAGGATTGCAAGCATCAATTGACATGCACTATAAAATTAATTTACCTCCAGATTTCTTGATTGCTTCACTAGCGCTGCTGTCAGTTCTTATTAGGGACTTGTCTGTTCCATCTAAGAGATTTGAAAAATATTTTCCGGTAAGGTTAGAACTCATTTTTGAATCACGGATACTCCGTATAGGAGTATCAGGGAGGCATTTCTCGCATTCTTTAGTACCATTTACTCGCCAACCTGCATTGCGCGCTTAGTATTAACAACTTGTTTATCTGGTTAGTCTACTAGCCACCAATTAATCGGCTATTCGTGCATCCGTGAGTCGTTTCATTGAGACGTTTGATTTGTAATAATCTTATAGATTTAGCTAGTTTAAGACATCGTACATTTACTGTCTTAAACAGTTTCTTCAGAATTGCAAGAGATAAATAAGCAATATCCCGATACGACTTATAGCTATGTGGTATTTTTCCCTTGAATATTTCTTAGCGTTTATAGTTTTTATTCCTACAATTTTTATATATAAACTAGCATGTGTACCTTTAAATGCATACTCATCGTCATCTTCAGACTCAGAATCTTTGTCTAAAAAGAAAATATTAAACTTAGGCTTATTAACCGACTACGACGTCTGTGCGAAAAGTATTTTGCCCGATATTTTGCGATACACATGACCTGATGCATACCTTCTTCATCTGTGCTAGGTACATACTCGTCACTGGAACTTTGGCTCTCTTCCTATATAAAATATATTTAGTACTTTTTATGTTGTAATTATAAGTTGCATGCACTCGCTTTCCATTTTTGTACCATATTCTTTTTCTCGTGCATATTTCTAAAATATGAGCTCAAAATAGAAAGGCAAAATGCCCAAAACGCGTTAAAATACCTCAATTTTAGAATTAGGACCTGGGCCAGTTTCGTTTGGATGAAGTAAATTATCTGCAAAATAGAGAGAATAATGCATAATTATATAAACCGACTTCACGTAAGGAACAAATTCGGGCAGGGAATACTAGTTTATTAAAACAAATTAAATTGACAAGGAATAGCTAGGTTAACCTTACAAATAGTTGTATAATGCGATATTCAGCATTGAGTGCAAAATTCTCAAAAATTCTATTTTTGTTGTTAATTTCATTTTTTTTAATTAACTATTATTATGCTACTCAAGTCAGAATGTTCTTTGCGCGTGTCCTATTTATGATATGGTAAGCGATCGGAGTGAATGTCCTGTGATATTAAATATGCAGCACTTGTCTCTTGTTGTTCTTTGTTCTGTCTTTAAACCAAGGATTTTTTGTCAAAAGGTATATAATTGATATATAAGTGCTAGAGCGAATATAAATTGGATAAACCTAAAGGAATTTTACCGAATGGAATTTTTTCAATTAACTCACGTTCACTCACCCGTATTCTGGCATTTGAAACACCTTACTTCTTGCCCATAGCCTTCTGGCCCTATTCCAACACCGCAAAATACATGGACAGCACGATGACATGATGCGCACATATGTGCCCCCGATACCTCCCCAAAGCAAACATGGCACTGATCATCTGTTATATCTAAAGTTTGAAATTACATGTATACTACGAAGTGCAAAATGTCAGATTGTTTATCTTTTTTAGTCAAGTTACAACGTTTACTTACTGGTAATCTGCATGGAATGATCATCGATCTCCATGGAAACTATAGTAGATTCATTATGGTGTTCTACATGTACGTAAACATTTATATTATATATTTATATATTGAATTATATGAATTATGTACATTACCTTGTACCAGCTAATCACATGCACTGATGTACCGCGTAAGAATAATTGCTTACACTATTGAATGTATATACTCCGAATATATTCAATTCCCGTGGTGTAACGTTGATGCAATAATCTTTGCTAAAGAGGAATATATAACTATAATTTATATTCTTGTATATAACTTACTCTGCTGGATTTGTCCATCAATTTCCATGGAAAATTCTGCACCGGTAGCAGAGTTGTCTTTTTCTTGTTCTATATTATTATATAAGCATAAACTTTTTAATGTATGATACATATTCCTAAAGGAAAACATTTTATAAATAACAATATAACGTATATCTTAGAATTAAACCGTTACCATAAGCTTTCGATCAAACAATACGTGTAACGTAATTTTTTAATGCCATATTGTGAATTGGCAGCATGCAGATATATAAGTTATAGTTGATGTGCCGTTATATTTCATATGTATCTTGTATAGAAATGCATATAATCACATTTGGATTTCATGGGATATCATGGGATTTCAATCAGATTACACAACATATGCAATTCTAATTAGATTTTGAGTATCTATCTATATATCTATCTGCGGCCAACGTTTTTGCAAACGGGTGTATATATATATATATATTAATCTTGACTGGTTTAAAACTTGTTGAGACCTACCAATGACACTTTCCTTTAATTTCTCTTGTTTATCAATCACTGACAGTGCTTTATAATTGTGCAAAAGTAATGACAGTGTCATTATAAGTTTATTTTTTCATTATAAGTTTATTTTTTGGTATACGAGACAAATATCAAGGGAAAATAGAGTGGCTACTTTTTGCGGATTCGTGAACAATGATATTGTGCACAAGACACAAATATGGCTGCATTTATTTTTTCGCGTTTTCCTGTGAATATAGCTATTTAGCTATGCATGACTGCCACTCATTTCTGGCTTCAGCTAAGGTGGCTACAAATTCCCCTTAAAAACAAATGTTTATAGAATGCATTAAATGTACACTTTTTACTTACATGTAATCTGAGCGTAGTCATCTATTTCGTTGGAAACTGTCGCATCGTCATTTTCTTGTTCTACATATATGAAGGTAAACTTCAATGAAAATACACAACTACTAAGGCTAACCAGAGGTCACACTATATAGACGGGAGTTATAATCAAAAGGTAACGGGTGCTATAATTTACGTTAATTTTTGTGGACATACATGATGGACCTTTCATAATTAAAATCGGTTTGTTTTGTTAAAAACTTTAAGCCTCTTCAAGTTGGTCATTCGAGGTAAAGCAGACATACTAATGTGAATGCACGAATATTTGGATCATTTTCTCGTTAAGCTGTGCATGCAGTATACATGCAGCTATACTTTGTTTTTAAATATTAAACTGATTTCTTTTTTTTCATTAGTTTATTTTGCCTCGTCAATTAAGTAGCCGTAGCTGTTCAGAGTTAAGAGAACGTTACATTTATATCATTTTTCTGGAAGAAATATTTTCACATCCAGTTTATATTCAGGGCATGGCCGACGGATTTCTTTTGTAAGTGTTACAAAAGAAATCCATCGGACAGAAATAGATATCTGAATAAACAGCCTCGCCCTCCGATTCTCGTTCTAGCTACGCCCCTCTTCACATCTATATACAGTGGCGTAGCCAGCCTGACGATTTAGTCATGCTACGCAAATTTTATATTATTATCATTATTCATTTCCTTAGAAATTCATTGTTTTCACAGTCAATGAACACCAAAATATTAGCATAGCATGACTAAATTGTCGGGCTCGCTACGCCACGGCATATATACCTGTCCGAGAATGTATATTATAACGTACACTAAATTTACAACACTTACTGGCAACCAGGACATGATTGTCTGTTTCCAAGGCGACAGACTCGTCATGGGTGTAGGCTTCGTTACATAGTTATAAAAATATTTCAAATGAGCACCCAACAATTAACAACAACTAAATGTCACCTCTGCATGAAATCTCTATGGCTAACAGCAATGGCTTGCTTTTTTATCAACTTATCTGATATTGCTTAGTTTTACTGCATGCATGAAAGTAGCTGCTGCCCTTGTTTTATTTTTTTATATATTCCTCAGATACAGGTTAAGAAAAGTTTCAATTGTGAAATTACATGAGCAATCACATACGTGTAATGACATAATCCTCCAAATGCCTTTGTGGAAACACAGGCGTGACACACGAAATATTACTCTGGTTGTTCGCTTGGCCTGCAACGTAGAAAAATTTATTAATGCTACTTTAACTGCATCTAGGCGTAAATGTCGTGCATTAAACTAACAACTACTTACTAGTAACTTGAGCATGATCATCAATAACCATGGATCCGAGGGGAGTGTCCTCATTTTGTTGGTCTACAAATCAGCGTATTTTCAATAAGCTTTTACAGAAACTAAAAGTCTTGTACCAGGCAATGTTCGTTATAGCAGGCACGCCGAAACATCGATAATTGGGGAGGCATATATTCATATATATTCGAGTTCTGCATTATTGCTTTCTTTTGAAATTGATTGTTTTTACGGTCTGTGAACTTGAATATATGAATATATATGCCCCCCCCCAATTATCGTCTTTTATCGATCTTCCGGCGTCCTCTGCGTTATAGTTTATACTCACTGAATGCTACTTAAAAACAGTTCATTGCATTGTTTTATTATCGAAATATGAATATTATAATAATGATATTTTGCAATATTGAGTTTGACTATAATCTTCTATTAGATAACGTTACTACAAGATTTTACAGTACCCCGATATGAAAATAACGCCCTAAGGCACAAGGACAAACCATGGGTGCTCTATGTGAACTGGGACTATAACTTGGTGGTCACCTTTGAAGCCAATTAGGAACCATGGTGCCATGAAGTCTATTTTCATTTTTTGCCTTCACGGCTGGCGATCGGTGCATGACGTAGCCAGAACATTAGTTGGGGGGGGGCATATTCATATATTCACGATACGCAGGATTAATTTCTTTTCAAATCAATCGTCTTTACAGTCTTCTAACATGAATATATATGAATATATGCCCCCAATTAATGATGCTGGCTACGCCACTGCTGGCAATCGCACCGAAAAAGAATAGAAAGGGACTCTGGTGCTCAATTCGGCTTCAAATTGGCTTCAAAGATGCATGTTTGCTAAGTAAATATAAACTCTATCTTTTCAGTTATTCTAACCAACCTTTGGCACTTTCATTTGCCTTCTCTGCGATCGTTAGCCCTGTGAATTTTTCTCGTTTGTGTTTTAATCGGTCTGTAGGGTATAATGGTTAATTAGAATTATAATAATTTGAATCCAGTGGTCAATTTTTAAAAAAGTATAAGTTTTCTTCAGACCGTATAAAATGGTTTGTCAAGTTTGCTAAGTTTGTCATTCATTTCGGTTGAGCTATAAAAGACATGCAAGTTTAATTTATGTCATTTATATACCCTTTTGAATTCGCCATGGAAGGTCCTTCACACCGTAATCGTAGCGTAACTCTTCGTTTTTACATAGATCCCTCTTAGCATAAATTGCCAAGTGAGGTTGACTATTAATGATGAGTCTTTTCATCAGACAATTCGCCACTCTTGCCTCGGCATCATTAACCAGTCTTCCAAGTCCGTCTGAATAAGTTGCATCGACACTGTAATATAATTTTAGTTAATATACATAAGAGTCCATAGTTGGAATTTTGTGTGTATATAAAACTCGTTTATAGTAACACGCATTTCAACCCGCAATTGTACCAACTGCTGCTAAGGCGTATCAATGCATCAGAATTCATAAAGATATCATGCAGTGAAACAAAAACTAAACAATTGTATAAGTTCATTGAAGATTGATTAATTTTCAACTTGGACATCTATAGTTCAAAGTACTATAATTGTGCTTGTGCATCTGAGGCATTTACCGTGCATAACAACAATGGAAGTTTTTTGGAAGAAAAAAATTATTATCCTGCCCGAAATGATTGCACTAGTTGAAAGACTGAATTTTCAAATAAAATGACCTTATTTCGACCTTTCAGGAGAATTTGTTTATAGAAGCGACATTCTTCGGCTCCAGGCCGCGTAGGTGTAGCACTTTCAAAAAGAAACACCTAAGCCTGAATTTAAAACAGTCACAGCAAACATGACGATCGAGCCAATGTAGTAATTTAGGTTCAACGAAATAGCACGTACAATACTCATTGTTTAAAAATATATTTCAAGCAAATTATTCAAACACTTAGTAAGGGCTGCCTTCCACTGTCTCGTTTTTTTACGCGCAGAAAAATTTAAATGCTTCCAAATTTTGATTATATTTAACACATGGATCAACAATTGCATACTAAAATATACGGAAAACTAGGTTCTTTCGATATATTCATCTGGCTTTATGACATATATAAGGATTTAGACTTTTACGTGCGTGTACGTGCGTATGAAAATCGCGTAAGTGAAAAGCAGTCCTAAATGTTGAAGCAGTGCTTGGATGGACGTTATTAGCCTGAACATACCACAATGAGGCATTTCCTTGTTGGAAAAAGAAAAGAAAGCTTCCAAGGTCGTCAGGGTAATTCTTCTCTCTAATGTAACCTTCCTCTTGAGAAATTAATTCCCCTTTGTATTCTAGAAGGAAATCCCCTTTGGAGAATGTTTTTGTGGTAAAAACTCCTCGACCTGAAAAATGGAATAATAAAATGGAAAAATAGAATGACTTGATAATTATATGTATAAAGTTTATGATATAAGCGTAGCTGGCAATTGCTATATGGGCCGGTCTGCCGGTCAAGAAAATTAAATTATACTGATTTAGTACCGATATCATCATCGATGTATCTTTCCTCGAGGTGTTCTTCGTCTTTAGGTAGGGAGAATTGTCCTTTTCTCTATAAGATATAAAATGCCCTCTTAATATTAGGCTGCAGTAATCGCAAATGCGGCGCGCTCATTTTGGGGTGGTGCTCAATCTGGGGCGGTATAGGATATTAAACGGTTGCAAGAAAATATGGGTTGTGTGTTCGAGTAGTAAAAACGAGTGAGCGCATGGAATGAGTGAGATTTTTTTTTGACAAGAGAACATATGAAAAATCCATATCTTCCAGCGAATGTTCCGTTTATTATGGACAAAAATGAGAAGAAACTCAATAAATTATTAATAATAAAACAAAACAAAGCTGTAAAACAAAAAACACCCATTACATATTTTTTTTATTTTTCACTGGTGAAATATGGAAAATATGAGTGTTATACGGTAGAACACCCATGCATGTCAATATAATATAAATACTTTTACTTTAAACGCTACCTTGTTTCTGCGTGTTGATCACATTCCTTGGTCGTCTGACATGGTTGGTCGTTTGGCAAGTTCTTCACAAAAACACCAAAGGCAAATGGAGTTTTAAATTAGAAAATTTTGGGAAATGGAGTTTCTAAATTAGAAAACGTCAACTTAGCGATTCTAAGTTATAGAAATAACATGCTACCAAAGTTAACAGAAATGTTTACTAGGACAAATTCGATACTTCATTTAACATTACCTAATCAATTAAAAATAAATGGAAAATTTGCCTACAGGGGAGTTGTGGCTTGGAATGACCTCCGCTGCAGTTTAATCATCGAAAATTGTTCGTATATATATATATATATATATATATATATATATATATATATATATATATATATATATATATATATATATGCATGATCTCTAACTTCCAAATTAGCTAAGTAGCGAATATAGACTATATATATGAATATTGCAGTTCAATTTCCATTAATACTATTTTATATAGTTTATGAGATAAAATATAGTACATTTTTCAACTGAAAAATAAAGTCAATTAAATGAAAAGTAAATAACGCCTTAATCAGCTCCCACATGCGCTTGACCTATAGATAATTTGCGACGAATGAATATACGCGGTGACAACTGCTTCGGTGATTATAGCACTGTATTTTATTCATTTTGCAAATGCACGATAAAAACAAACCTTTAACGAAATACTTTGAGTAAATAAATATTTGAAACTGAACGAATAAATGTTCGTTTTTTGCTTGAAACACACATGAAAAATGGAAATATAGAATGTTCTATAGTTGAAAGCTTCGAATTCGAATATCCAATATATAATATAAAACTTCTAATAGACAAATTCGTTGGAGCATTTATTATATATGTTTATATGCAAGTGTTTATATGAAAGGTTTTACACTCACCGCCTCGGTTGGTAGGTGGGGGACATCCTGTTTACCAAAGAGGATAACCCTATAGTGCATGGTAGGGACAACGTTTATCCATGTAAACACCTTGTCTCGGCCTCCGGGACTAACTTTTCCTACCGGTGCCTGCGCAAAAACTAGGGGATAGTAAACGCTTGGTAAAGTTGTCCCTATACCCTTGATCATGTACAGCCCTTAGTGCTACGAAATGGAGGGGGTGTTTCCAATTAATAGAAAACATATTTTTCATTTTTTTTTACTTTTGGAAACTTATGACGGATTTGCTAATTAAAACAATTTTTATGGCTTTGCCGTTTTGGTTTTTTTTTAAACAGAATAGCTATATACAGGGTGTCCCAAAAAAATGTCCCCTCTATTGAAATCAAGCCTTTGTTCGAATCTGATTGCCTTAATATTATGATAAACCCAATTGAAAGCAAGACGCTTTATTTGAATGCCTCAACCTAATAAATATGCTATTTACACACTACTGCGTTGATCATGCATTCAAATTCCAACAAAAGCTTCATTTCAATAGCGGGGACTTTTTTTTGGGACACCCTGTATAGCTACCTATAAATTTGCCAAATGATGATAAATTGTTTGGGCCAAATGATCATAAAATGATCATAAATCATTTGGAAAAATGTAGTTTTTCCTTCAATAATGCTGGTGGTATAACTAAAACCCTGTCTTTCGATTTTTTACGTGATGAGCAACATGCAGTCCGCCCGTGCAAATTCTACTAGTATATATATATATATATATATAATATTATATATAATATATAATATATAATATATATATATATATATATATATATATATATATAATATATAATATATAATATATAATATATAATATATAATATATATATATAATATAATATATAATATATAATAAAGATTATTAAAGAGTATATCCTTTTTTCGGCATACTGTAAGATTTAATTAATCAAAGTTAACGGGCGATTTTAAAGCGATTCAAAAAACCACTATCCGGAGGATAGCGCTTTACAACCGGCCTTGGAAGTCTTCGATAGTTTCGTTTTATATAATTTTTACCTAAATTAAACCAGTGATTAAACTGTTGCTTATTTCAACCGCTGCGAGTGTTAGCATTGTATGACTGTCAATCACAATGCATGTGTAATAAGTAACTAGCTTTTTCTTAAACACACTTTTGAGTTGAGGATTTTCACCTTGTTGAAGCATTTGATGAAAATTATATGCGTGTAATGTGGTTTAGTGCGCTTGTACATAGTTATAACGTGATTCGGTATTCTTAATCTCGCATGGGCTGTGTCTGTACACTTGCACACGAAAATATATTCCCTTTTCATGCGTTCTTTGTTTCAGAGTGAAATGTCCATGATTGCATCAGCGAATTTGCCATTAAAACTTGCGTCGGATTTCTTAATTGGTGACATTTATTTTTAGTCCGTCTACGCGGCATGCCCTATACATTGGAATTCTGCGCGTACAGCTGAATTATATACATTGCAGCCGGTTTGCATTCCCAAATTCTGTGGTGTAGGCGCCTTTCAATGACTGAAAGTGAAAAGCAATGTGTTCATGCACGGTTTTCATTTATAGTCGCTGCCGGGTTTCTCGATCAGAAGTATTCGGATTGGTAAATTTTCCGATGCACATTATGTTCCATTGTGCATGGCAGCAATATAGGTAATAAACATTGGCGGTGTATAACTGCATGAATGTAAAATGATGAATGCCAAAAATAGGCTGGATTTATATTGCAATTATATACACTCGCATGTGCATGTCAAGATTGATTCGCGCCAAAAATTTGAAAGTGGCGCGAATTATAGAATTCAAAAAATGGCGCGAATAGAATTTAAAAACGGCGCGAATAGAATTTAAAAACGGCGCGCTTATATAGCTATAATGGCGCAGTGTATACATGAGTAATTGAATATATTTGAAGTTATATGTACCAATTCATATAGCATATGAAATTTTTACTCTAGATGGTTGTTATAATTAATAGCTAATTCTGATATCGAAAGGAGGGAATAAATGTTTCGCTACGATTTGAACATGCTACATATAAATGCAAGATATAAGATGTAAGTTGAATTGGTGTCCGTCACAAAGACATATCGTAACATATGCAAAGGAAAGATGTATTGATTGAAACATTTGTATTCCAATGGTTATGATTCGATTTATTGAAAATTCCAGTACGGTCAATCGATTAGCAATTGGGATAGTTCAGTGTTAATACAATGCAAATTTGCTGGTAAACTCGTATCATATCGTTCTTAAAGTTCTTCTATTTTCCATACCTTATCTAGCTGATTTCCCTCTTCAAATCTTTCTTAACGTTTCGTTTTGAACGTTTATCTGTTTCTTCTGCAGGCTTTTCTTCTGTCTGTCTTCTAGCGTTGCTGGTTGCAAGTGCGCTTGGAAATGGTGATCGCGCAGTTTTTAATGCACCATTGCTGTAATACGATATTTCTAGTTAGTCATTTGGCGCCAAAAAAGTGCGCCAATTACTCATTCAAATAGTAATCCTCGGATAGAGGCCTCTAAACGTCGCAGTAAAATTTGAGACAAGAAAC